AGGTAGACTCCTCGTCGTGCCACCAAATCAGTAACTCTCTATTAAACTGTAGGACTATTAATAATGAAATTTGATTGTGACTTTTCATGAGAAGTGAATGGGTTGTAGCTGAAGGAGTCTTCAATATTGATGACTTCTTCTGGTGTGTTGTTCTTGCTTGTACTTGTTGTTCCATTATCTAGAATTTGAATATAGCAATCTCAATAGGGAAGTCTTCAGTTGTTTTTGAAGCACTGGAAAAATACAGCTGATGTTTCCTTGTTCCAAATAACATCTGATTTATTTGTAGTATTGTAGTACATTGCACACCACATAAAAACTGGTTTTCTTAGACTGTATTGTACCATCTGATACAGAAGTTCAGTGTTTGTTGTCATTCCAGTACTGGAGACATTTCCTGAATGCCTTCATCTGTTCAAGTTTAACTGGTTAAAGCATCTCTGCTGCTCCTGTTGGTTTTTCTGTTGCCACACTTAGGATTGTGCATTTTGGAAGTACTTCTTAACACCCTCATCCATCCACTCCATGAAGGGTAACTGAAAAAGTTAAGTTACAAAACTACTGTAACTGTGTTGTCTAGGGAACGAATGTAGGAGACATACAATCAGAAAATGCAGTGCAATTCCATCCAAATCCGTAATACAGATCTGCACAACAGGTTTAACTATAGCAAAAATGAAATAAAAACAGTAGGTTGCTCAATTCTTTCTTTTTATTATTTCAACATCATCAAAACAAAAACTAACCATCTGAAATGGTAAGAGTAAAAATTGAACTTAGTGATAAAGATTACATTTAAACCGTAACATCAAGATCCCAGTATCACTCTTTAAGATAGTATTCCTCTTTCCATTACAAATATGCACAAAAACTATATTGATATTCTGCTAATTTCAAAAATGCTAAATTTCACAATTACGGTATTTCAGTTGAATGAGAAGTAATTAATGAGGTCATACAAAGAGAATTGTGAGATGATGACGTTATGCCTGACTGTAGTTCAAGTTACCGTGGATCACTGATCCGTGATGGTCAGAAGTTTTAACAAATGGTTGCAGGCAAGTTGTACTTACTTTATCGTGACAACTAGTAACTAGTCTCCTGATGGTTCATGCCATCAGGAGACATTGAGAAAGATGTAATTCTAATACTGCATTCAGGACGCCAGCATTTGCAGAAACAGCTGATCACCCCTAAATTCACCACCATCAGAAGCAGCATAGAATAGGTCATGACTTAGCAACACAGCAGTATGTTTGTTATTGGTATAGAATTTATAGAGATAATTAGTTCTCATGCACATATGCTGTATGTCCAGGGGGTCATAACTTATCATAGATGACACTAAAACCTTATGTTGATGTATTGAGAGTGAGATGGGAAAATAAAAAAACAAGAATGAAAACCTTATCATATAACGAGGTTAATTGTTTGAAAAGATGTTATTCCATACATGTGATTGCAGCCTCAGGTTGTTTACCACTGGCAACTTTTTTCTTCTAGACGATATTTACTGCACCAGTGATTCTTTTTTTTTTTTTTTCCGAAAGTTATTTGCTCTAGTATCAAACAAAAATGTCTAATATATGTTCATGTGAGATATTTTTGCTCTGCAGTATTTGGCTGTAACTGCACCAGAGCTACTAAATAAGTGAGTTAAATCTGGCTATTGCAGTTGAATTTTCCTATTAGTTCAATCGGCCGTTACCATCCTGATACATGCCTATACATTACAGGCTCATGCATTTGTCATCATAGCTCCCCCATTCTGGGTTTAAAAGCAGTTGACTTAGACCTACTGTACACCCCCATACAGAGTCATCCTCTCTTCCGCTTCTTCGGCAGCACCAGCATTGTGCATTGCTGAGTCAGCGCCTTGAGGCTGGAACTGATAAGGTTCCAGTCCACTGGGCTCCACAAAGACTTCCTCTACCTCTGGTGACGATGCAGAAACCAATCCTCCACCTCAAAGGAGCTTTCTGTGGAGTATCTGCAAGCATCCCACCCCGATTACAGCATGTGGTTGTTGTTAAAACAACGATAACAATAGATTGTTTAGGACTTTATTGATTTCTCATTTATCAAATAATTTCTGAAACATACTTTTATCAAAGTTGAGTATTATTTTACGATTTTGCATTTTGTGACTGGGCTGTATTTTCACATTTTTTTATGAAAAGTTTAAGTAAGGTATATACACCTAATGAATTTACTCATATCTTACCATTGCTAAACAGTTCTGAACTACTGTTGTTGAGGTTTTTACCTAACTTTTGTATATTTCTTTGAATAGTTTGTTTTTTTCTTTTTCTACCTGATAAAAACACAATAGTCTTGGTTTCTTCTATGATATGATAGAGTTTGTGGGCAATTTGGGGCTCACTGTGTATATATTTATGTGTTTTTGTTGTTTATAAAGATCTAATTTGATTACTCTGTTTCCTCCATGTGACATTATAAAGCAATATAGTTCAATGTTCCCCATTAACATGACCTGCAGGAATTGTACCAATTATAGAAAATACAATCCCACCTTTCCTCCGCTGGCAGTTACTGACCTTAACGTGCAAACTAAAGAAGAAAGGTATTTTGCCCATGCTGCAGCGCACAAATCAGAGCCTCTTGTTCATTTGAGGTGAAAAAAGCTATTTCAGACCATTTCTTTTAAATACCTATCAGCTTTATACACATAAACTCGTCATGTGCTACTTGTTTCTGGCACAATGCCTCTAAGACATTACAGTAAGTAATAATGTAACAAGATAATTCTCACATAAAGATGCATTCACATGATTTTTTTTAAATCACTCTTGTAACAAGCTGGCCCTTCCACCAGTACGACCCACAAAATCTTTATTGTAAGTGATAAGTGTCATACTAAGTTGCAATCGAGATACAAAATGGCAGATCAAGGGCTTAATGTTAGAACATTATTCCTGTGCTGTAGTGTTAGTCAAGTGTGTGTAAGTAACTTTGCTAACCCCTGAGGGGAGAGAGAGAGAGCATGGCATCATCAGAATTGGCCTTCATATTCTCAGTAGTTGTAACCAGGCGTAAGACATTTGCCCCGACTGTTACTTGCCTTTAGTCACGGTCACAGACAGTTAAGTGACCAATTCCAATATAGTCCTTAGGGCAGAATAATTACTCAGGAAACATACATAGAATAATATTGAATAAGTTCCAAGCAAAATACTTCCCTTGTTCTTTTTTAAAACATGCTATTGTTGAAGTAAAAGAGATATTTGAGTAATTTAAAGAGGTGTTTAGCTGTGTCAGTGTGAAGAAAAAATCAAAAGCATGGATTGTTTCTGTGTGAGCATATTTATTGTATTTACAGAGACTGCTGAATGCTATATGATTTCTCCAAATCAAAGACAAAATCAGAAAATTAAATAGATTAGTGTGTTTGGCTGATTTGAGACAGCGTGACAGTTATATATTCTAGGACAACATATTCTCATTATCAGTGCGTATGAAATCGTACAAAAAGTTATGCACACTATTTCGTACGTTTTGGACGTTTTTCCTCAAAAAACCACATCAGTGCGCATGCGCGGGCAGACAGAAAAATAAGCAGATCCCGGACGGACGTAAAATTAGGAAAAAAAGTGCAATCAGCACTTATTCATGTCTCTAACTACGTTGCTTGCTGTTTTGTATCTTAGGGTTAGGTGTAGGGTCAGGGTTAGGGCTAATTGTAATTTATATTCTATATTCGTGAATGGTGCGTCAAATGCGCATGCGCATACGATGAAAAAAAACGTCCAAAACGTACGAAATTATGGTGCATAACTTTTCGTACGATTTCATACGCACTCATAATGAGAATAGGTTGTCTAGGATGTAATGGATGAGTCCCAATATTACTTGCCCTCTTTGTTATAGCTAACTCAAAATACAATCAAATAAAATTACATTTATTCATAACAGTTTTGCCCTAAATAAAAACAAATAATACCGCCAAGCTCTCACTAACTTAAAAAGTAGCACTTGAGTCAAATTATGTTGGAAAAATGTGTTCCATGTGCAAAAGTAAAAGTTGAATCTTAAATTCTGTGATATGATTAATGCAGTCTAATTCTAATGATCTTTTAAACTGGAAATAATGGACTCAGGTACTCTCAATAGGAAAAAACCAAATCACACCCAATGAGCAAAGTCAAAAGCATTAACAAAAACTGTATGTTTCTGTAACTCCAGAGGGAATAGGCAGTCACAATGCTACAAGTATTCCTTCTGTATCGATGCCTAAACCTGAGGGATGAGAGAAGCAAAAGAACATAAGAGATCAATTATCTTGCACTTCTCTCAGCAGTATTATTATTATTGCACTTGAACTCATTAATTCAATTTAGCATGCAAATGAGTGATACTTGTTACTCTGAGGCAAACACACCCATAGCTGATCAGCACAGGACACAGTGCACCGTCTCAAATTCCAACTCTTCAACAAATCACCAAACTTCAAATAAACTTTAAACCAAAAAAAACGCAGCAGAACCTTTTTGACTCTATTTTCTGCTGTGTTTTAGCATTACACTCCCTGTCAATGACCATAGTTAGTATTTGGAAAAAAATAAGCAAACACAAAAAAAAAAAAGTCAAAACATTGGTTTACCACCTTAGAGAAGTCCTGTGTTGTTAAGGTGAAATATTCTCCATCACTAGACCTGTCTTGACAATAAATCCATGTCAATAGCGTAAATCTAGGTCCATATCTGGGAATGCTTAAAGGAGGAATAAGCAAGATATATGGAGACTGTTTCTGTAAAATCGGGGCACCCAGTTTCTCAAGGTGAAGTTGCTTGCCTTGGTACAGTAACCTCTTACTTACTTAATATGTTTAAAATAATGTTTGCGGGTTGTATTGGAAACAAATATAAATGACTGCAAATGAAAATATTTAAATTCCTGCAATATTTGCTTCATAAGCTATCACAAAAATAACAAATGTACAGTTATTCCTTGTCATATTAATACATTTGTTTTACCTGTAGGAGAGGAGGCTCTGACCATGTATCTGGCCAAGAACAAGCTGGATAGGAAGCTGGTCAATGCTACCCAGAATGTTGAAGCCCTCCACCAGCTGGCATCATCCTACTTCATTGACCGCGATGGCACAATGAGGAAGCTGCATGAGATCCAGATCTCCACAAATGCCATCAAGGTATGTAAATCTTGAAACTATGAATAATTTCCTAAAACACAGAGGACACACAAAGTTAACATAATTTCTTTGTATTCAAATTAATATCTAACATTAAAATAGACTTCATTTTGATTTTAGGTTACCTTAATCTTATTTACTAGCCCTTATTTTAGTTTCTCTTTTCATGAGGATAATAATGCTAATCTTTAAAATACAAACATTTTACATACAGAATTAAGGAATTTTTTGTTATAGAAAACCCAAGTTTTACAGACATGACATATTCCTTTTTGTATAATGTGGTCTCTGCTGTAATTATTGTCAAACTGCCATCTATTGGCTCACCAGACTTGTGAGCTTGTTTTATTGTTAATAAGCAGCTGTCATGATAAGCAGTTATTACACCAACTGATCAGTCATAAAAAAGATGATTAAATATTAGGTCATATTGTCAGGTTTTTGTCAGGAAAAAAAATATGCCATTGTAATTCAGAATTTGATTTTATATAATTTACTCATGGTAAACCTAATATTTATATCCACTACCGTGAACAATCAGTATTATTGTTTTAATATTCATATGGTGTCTTCAGCCTGAAACAGCCTGAAGGGTAAAATTATTTAAAGAATAATTTGTCTGCAAACACAGAGGAGATCTAGAGAGAGCTAGAAACCAGAGCAATAAAATATTAATACTGTCTAGCAATATCATCAAGCAAAACTAAATGGCATTAGTTAAGAGAGATTTTTCCCTTCTGACTATGTTCAGTAATTAAGCCAAGTGGTCATTCTTGATCCACACAGAAAGGAGTGTTACGAACAAAGTCAAAGCTAAATGATTATATATTTAAGTCTCTGTGTGTTTATTTTTAGCTTGATAGACAATTGACATAAAGTGAGAAGACTGCATTAGGATTAATGATGGCTGCATCATTTCCTTTAATTATTTTTCTATGCTTTTATAATAGTGATATATTTTGATGCAAGCACCTACTGTAGAACAGCATCCCTTATATGTTATGATCTTTTTCATATGCACCATGTTTACCTTGCAATGCATCTACAGAATTAAAAACAAACACACACATATTTGAACAGATTTTGTAATAAATTAACATTAAAGTGATCATGAGTGCATGGCTACTACTTAGATTAGGATTTTAACTTGATAAGCAAGTGTGCATAACAGCATTCACACCATTTAGGCGTGAGGATCCTTCACGGTCACTATACTGCATTATTCAGTGGTGAAATGGTGCTAAAATATGCTGCCTGCACCTTTATTTCCTTTTGTAAATCTTATTTTACCTTTTTTAGAACACTTTCTAGAGAAACATCACTGCAGACTTGGCTTCAGAATTATACAAGGGTTAAAGTTAATTAGTTTGCTTGACCAAGTCTTTTAGTCATGATACAGTTACTTATCAAACTTGCTCAAAACATTACCGTTAACTAATTTTTAATTTAACACATCAACTTTGAATATGTCCACTTACAGCCTAATACATATTTTACCTACCAACTTTTGCCAAAGAGAAAATCACTGTTTTGATTGTACCAGTCGCATGAAACAAAGATTCCTCTTTTTAACAGTTACTACGGTAGCAGTAATGTGCTCTTTAAAAAAATGTTTTAAGTAAAGAAAAAAAGAGTATTTTAGATATAAATTGTGTATAAAAATGAAACATTTAGAAAATACATCAACCATGTCAATAACAGTGAAGTTAAATGTTATTTATTTATTTATTTTTTATAAGAGCACAGAGGCGATTCTATTAAACGTGTGTATGGAGAGTAAGAAAGCCTCAGCCAACACAGCTGCAGGTAAAATCGTGTCATCTGCCCACAGAGAAATGACACCTCCTCTGAAAAAGTTGGCTGCTCTTAATTTCAGGCTTTGCTGATCATAATTGTTTAGACTCTTCTGGTTTGGATGCATTTTAAAAAACACAAAACTTAAAACAGGCCACATTTTTGTTCAAAATATGGGGGGGAGCGGGGGGGGGTATCTCTTTTAGAAAATAGGCTGTAAGGAAACATGTTGGAAACAAAGGAAAATATTTTTCCCCTTAACACAAGGCTTTCACATTCAATACATATTTTTGACATCTCAACCTCAGATAAACAACTCTGTCAGTATATCTGTGTTTAATTATCAAGCATCATTCATTATCAGTATATGGAAAAAAATTCAAAACTAAAATGACAGTCGATACAGCTAAAAATGCAGACAAGACAAATGGAAACTTGGAGCAATAATTCCCTGGGAATGATTAAGAACAAATCTGTTGCCACATATCTGTGCTTGCACACCTGCACAACAATTGCAAGTACAAGCAATGCTCACCTCACCAAAGCTTAACAATCCTGTCTTCAATTAGGGAGCACCTTTCCAGCTTTTTGTTGTTTTGACTGACAAGTGGATTAAGGGGCTTTGGCAGATGAGACTTCAGGTTGCAGGAAGTCAAGCATGACGAAATTAAGCAGACCTGACAGTGACTGCTGCTGACTCAGTTTATAGGGAAAGCAAGGCGAGTGGGTTGAAAGGACAGAACCTTGATGCGGCACATGCACTGGCGCACATGTCACTGCAAAGCAGAGTGGACTGAATGCCTGCTCATCAAAACTGATGGTGTTATAGCATATGTGAAGAAGTCTGAACTATTAAGATCTCCAAATAGAGCTTGAACTACATCAGAGATATGCAAGGTGGCAATTTAGTTAATGGCATATGAAATAACTTTTTTCTTGCCTGCCACATATTTATTATTCCTCTGCAAACATTGTGCATATTTTTTGAACAAAGAAGCTTTTTGCCCGTCAAAGACAGTAAGGTAAGTGGATGAAGATTTAAATAAAAAAGTTGCAGATTTGTTTTTCCTCTTTCAAGATAGTTCCATTCAAAATGATTAAGACCAGACCAGGATCGTACTGACTAATACAATATGCTTAGGACATGAAATATTAAAAAAGTAGACAGTGAAAAGAATCTGGATATTGCCATTTTCCCAATTTTACATGCACCAAATCTGTTTAGAAGTGTTTTCATATTTATAAGATTAAAAATTGCAATTGAGGAAGAAACTCCATGTGAGTCAGCGCCTCACATGGAACTCCATAGTGTTCTTATCATGTCGTAAACAACATAAATTAGTTTTGGTGCAAAGTGCTGAAAAACCTATGATAAACTGCTCAAGCTGAATACAGTGGATACATTTCTCTTTAATAGTTGAATAGACAGTTTTCAAAATATTTAGCTTTCAGTTTGTAAAATGCAAAGCTCAGCTACAAGACAAGGCTGAATGTCAGGAGAAAAAAAAGTGATAGCTGGCAAACAACAGCAACTACAAAAATTCCAAGATTTTGTGCAGACATGGCTCCACATCATATAGATTCCACTGCATTTCTGATTTATTTTAGACATGCTACAGATGCAGCAATTTCATACCCTCGAGGCATTGTTAATACTGTACTGGAAGACAGTTTAATTGTATTATCTGTCAAACAGTATTTCATTTTTTTTTTCAGTTATTTTTGCAATAAATTATAGAAACATCTAATTAAATAATCATTATGTTCAGTTTTGTTTTCATCTTTCACACCTGTCCCCCAGATTGGGAGCGATGGATGGATGGATGGATGGATGGATGGATGGATGGATGGATGGATGGATGGATGGATGGATGGATGGTTTATGTATAAATATGTCATACTCTTATGTAGAGGATCACAGAAAAGCTTGTGCCAGGGGTTTGTAACCAATCCATTGCAGTGTTAGAGAGAAGCACCTAGAAACAGCCATGCAGACACAAAAACTACTAAAGGAATTTAGAGAGACAAATGAACCAAACAGTCATGTTTTTTGGATTGTGCAAGAAAGATGTAGTATACAGAGGAAACCCATTCATGCACAGGGGTAGTCATGAAAACTAGATGTAGTAACCAGGACCTGTTTGCTGCAAGACAACAGTGCTACAAACGTCACCCCCATGCAGCCTATAAGTATACACTGTGTATTATAGAAATTATGGCATTTCCTTGAACATATTTATGATCTACAAAAAAATAAATAAATAAATAAAAATAATCATATAACAATGTTAAAAAATTGTTTATTTTTATATAACTACTCTATGTACAAAAGGCAACAAAAATCTCATTCCAGTCACACTGAAGACAGACTATAGCCAGAATGTGCAGAGGAGACAGAGTTCACCAGAAACCATGGATCTATAAACACAGAGAACAAGGGCTATTCTCCTTCAATATTGATTTGGTATGTCGGTGAAATCCACTTTGGAGTCCAAGCATCCAATCAGTATAAAGGAAAAATAAAGAAGGAAAAAAAAAAAAAACACTGGTCAATATTGCAGAAATGTTGCAGACATTTCCTGTCTGCTGTAACTAAGCAAGTTTTAAGTTAGACCAAGAAGTAGCTCTGGTGCATTACATTTCAAGTTTCATTATTGCTCATACTGACTACTCCTACTTGTATATCTAACTTTTCTTCTCTGTAATTTGTATAAAATAAAATAAAAATCTTTTTTTTTTTTTTACCTATGTTAAATCAATATTGAAGGGGGGTGATCTGGCTTGTTATGTATATACAGTTCAAAAGGCAGCCTGTGTAGTTGGCTATTTGTTCACTATAGTGTATGAGCAGATTTTATTATCCATACTAGTTCTTTTAGGGCTGAGAAAGTTGTTGGAGTTCTTTAGTTAAACTAGTCTTGAGAGAGGACCTAATCTTAAGCCTACTGGAACATGATTTTGAAAATATGGCTAAAAGAGTTTACTTCCCTCACCCTTTGGCTAAATTCGCCTATTTGAATAGTAAATTGGTCATCTTGTAGATCCAGGGAAACAAAATGTGTGTGGGGGAGTTGGGGTGGAGAGGTGAGATTGAAGTTATCCAAGAAATGTTTCTATTATGATTTTGGGAACATGCAAAGTCTGGCTCTGATAGTGAGCTGTAAACATGTGCATGCACCTGAAAAGAGCATTGATTTCAGTACAAA